GAAAATTTGTGATTTTTTTTTTAATCCATGATCGATTTTTTTGAAAATTTGTTATTTTTTATTTTTTAATCCATATTATTCAAAGAGAAAATGAGAGAGATGATGATTCTGAAGCCACCCTATCCCAACCATATTATTCACATATCGAGTCCCAACAGCAACAGTGTAGAGATGAGCACGAAATACTGTAAATTAAATGTTGAATGGCGGTTCATGCAGGGAAAGAACATATCAATATTCGCATATTCATTCAAAAACATGAAAATTCTTAATGGAGTACCCTCATTTTTTATTGAATTCTTAAAAAACAATATTTATAATGAATTTTAATAATTTTTTCGAATTTTTTTTAAGCTTTATTCTGACCGATTCACCCGATTCCCGATCCGGATCGCCGATTCGCCTATCCAAATCGGTTTTTTGGAAGCTCGATCCGAGTCACCGATCCGTTTTTTAAACCATTGGTTCGGGGGATTTAACTCTCTTGGAGTGTTAAAAAGCAAAGAATACAAAAGCAGTTCGGCCCATGGACCCATTTGCCAGGTCCGGCCAGCTACTAGGCCAAGATTTCAGGCCCTAGCTCAGCTGTGGGCCCAATTTACTGGCCCGTGCCTCGACTTATATGGGCCGAGCTTCTCAGGCACATTCCCACCCTTAAAGGCACCAACACCACGTACTTTATTTTAAAGCTAGAATAGGGAGTACGGTGAGGGCATGCCACTAAATAAAGTAGCTTGCTCAGGATTTCCGGAAGGATGACTATTCCCTTTAGATTATAGGGTCGCTACTCTTCTTAGAATAACTAAAATATTGTTACAAGCTACTAAAACAAAGTTGTATTCTAAATACATTAAAGAAATTCAAATACTTTTAAGTTCCAATTCCAAATAAATGGTCCCTCACTCTCCCAAAGTTCCAAATTAAAAATTGAAAAGATAATGCACATGAGGAAGAATAAGGAGAAATGAATAAATAGTAATAGTATACATTATATACAAAGGTCCACTTACATTCTTCTAAGCTAGTGCACCAATCAAAATCTCTCTCTCTCTCTCTCTCTCTCTTTATTTATTTATTTATGAGAAATAACACTTTATTTCTTACAGGAAAATGTTTATATAAGAGCGAGGTTCTAAACAATCAAATTAGTACGTACTTCAAAAATCTTACTAGAAGATGTTGTTTTGATGCCCAAATATCCTCAAATTGATCATCTGGACATCAAGATGTAAGAACATGAGAAAAAAAATTGATTTCAAGATTTGAAAATAGTGCATCTTATAACATATTTTTGTACCATCAATTTTCAAGATATTCAAGTTTTTATAGATATGCTCGATCGACACTATTTTTGAAGTTTTAAATTTTATAATTAAAGATGAAAATATAATTTAAGGCTATCACAAAGATTTCGGTATTGCAACTACATTTCTCGACACTATTTGAAGGTGCGCTTTACTTTGATCGTTTAGAGCCTTGGCTCTATACAAACTCAGGCTCTATACAAACTGCACCCTTACTTAAAATCACATCATCTCTCTCACACACATATATCACACAACATGACATTGATTAAATAAGTAGCATGGCTTCTAGATTATGATAGGAAAATAATGTAACCATTTTAACCGTTTGAATTTTGAAATGATCATAAATTGAGTGCATAATGGATTTGAACTCTCTCACACCCAAGCTTGTGTCTTGGCCCTAAACCTTGATTAGTTTTGATGCACACTTGAGCCTAATAATTGAGTGCATAATGGCTTTGGGTGAATCCTGTAGCCAAAAATGCGAAAAGAAAATGAGGCAGCCGGCCTATATTGTGCCAATATTGAAAGAGACGGATGACTAATAGTTGCAACAATAATAAAATTGGGAGTATAAGATATGCAGCATTTAAATTTTGTGCACATATAGGTATCATTTGAGTGCTCAAAATGCCAATAAAAATAAAATAAATTTGCATAAAATTTTTGTGTAACACGTGATTGCCGTCCTCGAACTGTCCATTTCGTCTCCCCTTTCATCTTGGCTGCTTGGCATATATTGTACTGTAGGTGGGTCCGAGTCATGGAATGGCTGGGCCTGTATTGTGTTATAGGTGGGTTAGCCTTTTGGACTTCGGGAAATAAATGCTACACCCCCACTTGCGAGTTTTCACGTTTAATGGTTCCGTGTGATTGTGACCACTTTATACCAAAGATACATAATTATGGAAAAGTATAGAATGTGACTATTTAATCTTAACAATTTGATGTGAAATTGGGTGGCTGCATTTATTCTATTGACAAGCTCAAACTTTAAAAGAAATTTTTTCGAACTTTATGATATACCCAAACAATCGAATTTCATATCGGATGGTTGTAAGTAATTGTGATCACCTTTTATAAAAAATAAATAGTCTCAATGTATACAATCCCAAATAATTATAGTATACATTTTTTCTTCTATGGGATGTCTTGGGGTGTCTATAGCCTTAATGTATGAAATACAAGCAGTCTCATTGTATACAAATTCATATATTGTGAGCGTCTATAGTGTGCTCCCTCTTAA